GGATTATATACGGATTTGAGCATAAAAATTTGGTAGAAATTGTGGGTTTTTGGGAGGAGACCTAGAAATTTATATTTTGGATTTTTACCACGATTTTGGGCATGGAATTAAGAGAAAATCATATATTTGAGTTCGGGAGTTCATGGGTAAACTTTATCTTAGAAAAATTTCGGAATCCGGGCACGTGGACCTGAGGGCAATTTTGTCAACTTTTCAATCGGGGTTAGGAATTGTTATAAATTGGATTATAATGAGTAATTGAACATATATTAATGGATGTGCATGATTGTTGGCTAGTTTTGGAGCATTTTGCTTCGATTCGAATCTTCGGAAGGGCGTGGAATGTCGGTTATGGATCTTCGGAGCGAGGTGAGTCTCCTTTCTAACCTTGTAAGAGGGAATTGTCCCCATAGGTAAAATAATTAGTTATGTGCTCCTATTTGTGGGGGATACGTACGCACGAGGTGACGAGAGTCTATGCGTAGCTGCTATTATGTCTAAGTCCGGGTAGTCTAGGACCCAAAAGCATGCTATATTTGGAATATTTGTAATCTTATTGACAGTTGAATTGCTTAAATCCTATCAAATTGGTAAATGAATTTCTAAAAGGATTAAACTTCATTTTCTTAAATCATTAAATGAAAATTGGCTTTTATTTGGATGAACGTTCCCCGATAAATTGGCTGTTTGAATGTGTGTATCTATGTGTGCCTGTGTCGCATGTATGATTCGCGAGCAGGGTGTTTGTTTATTTATGTTGACCGCGTCACATGTATGATTCGCGAGCGGGGTAATAGATGCATCTATGGTTTGCGCCATTCGACCCTCGGCAGTGCACATTTTACATTTATGTTGGATCGAGCCGTACGACCTCGGCATAATTTGCGCATGCTTGTAATATTTGCCTGAGATTTATAAATGTTGATATTTGCCTTTCCTGGCCGGAGATAAATTGATAAAAGATGATGAAAAGTAAATCTTTGGAATCCATTATTATTTGAGAAGTTGTTTACCTGCTATCCGGCTTTATGAGTTTATAATATCTTTATAAAATCCATGATCTCCTCCCATTTTTACAAATATTATTAGTGGACCACTAGTAAGTGTTAAAGTCGACCTCTCATCTCTAATTCTTCGAGATTAGACGGGATACTCACTGGGTACACGTTGTTTTCGTACTCATACTACACTTGTTGTGCATCTTTGTTGCACAGGCACTTGCATCTCTAGTGGCCTAGTAAGCTCTGTAGCATGGTTGATACGGAGACTTAGGTGAGTTGCACTTCTCGAGACGACCCGCAGCCAACAGAGTCTCTTTCAGATTACTGTATTTATTTTCTGTCTAATATTGTATTCCGAACGGTTGTTGTATTATATTATTTCCTAGAAATTGCTCATGCACTTATGACATCGGGTTCTGGGATGATTATAAGGTATTCTGTATTTATTTCTAAATATTCTTTTATCTATTTTTTTTGTAAAGATTATCTTTTACTATCTGAATTGAAGGAAAATTTAAGTTTTTAAAATTATTAAAATAAGAATTAAATTAAGCATTTATGGTTGGCTTGCCTGACAGCGGTGTCCAGCGTCATCACGACCCTTAGTGAATTTTGGGTCGTGACATATCTGGTTACATCTGGGGTACAATTGTCTAGCTTACCTGGATAGGCAGATGTGCCAGGCGTGCATGGGCACCCAGAGAGATGTTGCTGGTTTTTTACCGCTGCTGCAGGTGAAAATATAGTCAATTCTTTTCATGATTGTAACATACATAGTAAAAAATGCCTTAAATTTTACGTCCATAATCTATATTAGGTTTGGGCCTGGGAGCGGTTCTTGTAGTTCCAGCCACCATCGATAGCTCTAGGTGCACCACCTCCACTGTTTCTCCCTTTATCTTGGAGGTGGGTTGATTTAGGCCACGCCCGCGAGTTCAAGGCTCGACATCATCTCCCTTATTACAGGGATTTGTTGGATTTACTTGAAGGCGTTTAGGTATATATATACTTAAGTTTACTTGTCCTGACTTAAGGGATTTCCTAATTCGATTCCGGGCATACGTTCAAGTCCCAAATCATGATACGGATCCACCGGGATTGTCAAACAACTGATCCGGGTCCGTTTACAAAAAAGGTTGACCGTAGTGAACTCAAATGAGTTTTAAAGTACGATTTCACATTTTATCAATTTTCTCATAAAAACCTTCCGGAAAAAGGACATAGACTGCGCACGCCAATCAAAAAAGGCTAAAGGAAGCTATTCGAGGTCTCCGAACACAGAAATGAAGGGTAAAACTATAAATGAACTATCGGGTCATCATATTTTTCTTAGATTTTTGGAATCTTGTATATAATTTTTTTGTATTTCATCACCTTATTTGCTACCTCATCCAAGAAATTTTCTTTCTGTCTAGCATCTAATATTGCTAGTCATGCTTAAAAATATGGAAGGAGATCTTTATGTGTGATTCTTGGAGAGAAAGAACCTTATCTCTTTGGGTTTTTAATTTTTATTTGTCTTTGGCTAGTTTTGGTAAGTCTATGATTAATGGCTAGAGGTTGGTAAGTTGAGACTTTTTTGGTACATTTCTGTAAGATCCCCTTTAATATTTTGATGAATAAAAACCTGAACTATTTTTCACTTCATGTTTTTTTACTTTTGGCCAGGGGAGGTCCATCCGAACCCAAAAATTGCCACCAAATCGAAAATAAAAACGGATTAAAAACTTGATTATATTTGGTTTGATATTAATTAAAAAAATGCAAACCAAATCGACATATAAAAACTTCTACTTTTATATGTGCTTTTGAGACTTTATACTGAATTTTCTTTAAAATAACATCTAGAAATATTTGTGATCCTCATATGGAATGTAATATTTAATAGAACCACGAAGTTCATCCATTTTATTTACTTTCAATAAAGATTTGTATCATCACTTTCTTATCAAGTGTTATTTAGTTATTGAAATGCATCAATCTCTTTGTTCTTCCATATTCGTATATTCAGATCTATTAAACTCTTATATTTTTTTTTCCAAATTTCAAATGGTATTTATTGGTAATTTTAAAATTAAATAGAATATATCATTATTTAGGTTTAATATTGATTTTTGTATTTAATTATTAAATTCAGTTAACCTTGAAAGCGTACGGGTCAAATGGTTTTGTGGCCAATTACAAATTTATTTTAGTTTTATGACTCCATCTCTTTTACACATAATAGATCTTTCTTTTATACATAAGATATCTATAAAAAGATATTTTCTTAAATTCAACATTGTAAAAAGCCATGAGGTCCAATTACCTCGAATGAGGGTACATCAACGAAAAATTATTGTTAAACGATTAAGAAAATAACTATTATTTGTTATTTAATGAATTTTGCCATAAGAATATTTTAATAAATCACATGTTTGTCAATTTTTTTTTAAAATTTTACTAAACTTATATTCACTTATCAAAACTTTAACAAAATAAGATTAAAATAATATTGTGTAACAAAAAAAATCCCAAAAAACGACAAAATCGACCAATTCAAATTGATATAATTAATTTAGTTTGGTTGTGATAAAAATCGAACCAACCCGATTCATATACACCCATACTTTTGGCAACAAGCTTGATGGAAGCAATTGAGCATGGGAGCCGGTCAAGTTGATCTTTGATATACGTAAGTGACGATTAGATTGAAACAAAATGTATATAAAAGGAGAAATTTTGAAATTTCAGCGAAGGAGTACCATATATATAGCCCGATTAGCCAGGCTATAATCAACTTATTTTGAAAAGTGCTTTTTTTTAAAAGTACTTTTGGGGAGAAGACAGTTTGTGTTTGACTAATTAATTTGAAAAGCACTTTTGAACAGCAATTAGTGTTTGACCAAGCTTTAAAAAACTACTTCTAAGTATATTTTTCTCAAAAGTGCTTTGTGGGAGAAACAACTTTTTTTGCTTCTCCAAAACTGCTTCTGCTTCTCCTCAAAAACACTTTTTTTCCTTTCAAAAGCTTGGTCAAACACCTTAATTTTGAAAAAAACACTTTTGACCACACACAAAAAAAAGGCTTTTGCCTTAAAAGAAGCTTGGCCAAACAGGCTAATAGTTAGGTTTCTTTTTTTGATCAGGATGTTCAGACCAACTTGCGTGCTCTTCCAATGGATACATTTTACATTCCTGCACAGAGTACCGATAACTCTAAACACCAGGCATTTTAAAAGAAGTTAAAGTTTCTCACCAGTGAGTAGCTAGCAGGGGCGGAGGGAGAGTGCTATATACGGGTTCGGACGAACCCAGTAGCTTTTATTTAAACTTTGAATTTGTATTAGAAAATCCATTAAATATGTGTAAATACTCAATTGCGAACCCAGTAACTAATGAGCTATGAGATCGGTTGCAAGTTCAGAACCCATAAACTTCAATTTCTAACTCCGCCTCTAGTAGCCAGAATGTATCAACATGGCTTAGTGTACCAGCTGTTCTTTTAGCAAGACGGATGCAATACGGAGGCGGACCTATGTATAGAGACGAAGGGTCACCGGACCCCGTTAACCTCGGCTAAAATTCTAGATATATATATGTGCAGATATGTCGAAAATGGTTATATATTTTGTCGGGAACACTTGAGATCAAAAGTCTTATGAGGCACTAGTTGAACAATCCGCTCATATGCCCGGTCACCTTCAAATCATGGGTCCGCCTCTGATGTAATAACAGATAAATTTCTCTTGAGGCTCATATTATATTCCTCCAAAGTCCCAATCTCGTCGTATTGTAAAGAATCATTAAGATTAAACGCAAAATATCTTGGGTAAAAGAGGCAGTCATTCTCTGCCTAACAAATGATATATAGAAATGAGAATGGGAGGGAGACTCTGCATTTCATCTTGCCCATACAGAAGATAAAAGAAACTGAAAGGAAGTGAAGAAACAAGAACAGAAAAAGAAAAAGAAAAAACAACAGAGAGAGGTTGTCAACACAAGAAGCAAATTAGGAAGTCCCTGAAGAACCTATCTGCATTTACACTTGTAAAACCTGGTAACAAAGCCCAACCTTGAGAAAAATATACAAAACTTACACCATAACCCCACCATTCAGTCACATTTACGACTAACAAAATTGTGAAAAAGGACCAAAAAGAGGAAAAGGAAACAAAAAAGAAAAGACAATCTGTAACTTTTTTAATCAAAACCAATTTAAGAGGAGAAGAGACCTGAAAAACAGAACCTCAGACCAGTTCGCGATCATGAAAACTATTTCTTTGCAAAGAACAGAGGAGAAGTGGCACGCTGTATATTTGGCTGCTTCCTTTCTTTCCGGTTGGTTATCTGCAGTTTGGCTTCTCCTTTCCTACTATGAGCTGTAAATAGTGATGCATCTCTCTGCAGCTTCTCTCTTCTGGCACGAAAAGCTCAGCAGCAGAATCTTCCATAAAGGAAGTAAATAAATTAATTAAAGTTAAATAAAAGGAATCCTGTAAAAAGCAAGGCATGGTAATATTATACAGACCCAGAAAGGTAAAATTTTGGTAGGTGATAAGGTACATATCCATAGGTCATAGGGACAAAAATAGAGCAATAATATCTTCAAGAGCATAGGATGTGGCTTAGGCAAAGTCCAAGGCCATTTATAGTTGAAGCATCTATCTTAGCAAAACCTGAATTACTAGGAGTCTCGCTTATAACAACTCAACAAAGTTAGTATTCTCTGTCAATCCTCATCCCCCAACATAATATTCAATGATAAATGTACAAAACAATCTTTGCACACAAGAGATCAGGGTCACTAGAATGCTAGTCATTTAAATAGAGGCTTACCTTGTATTACTTGAAACTTCAAAAAAGTCATCTCGTCTTAATCTCAATTTTCCGTATTTCTTGCAGCCGATGAGCTATTTCCTGAATAAACTGTATCCCCTCATGTCCATTCTGGAGCGAGTTAAAAGCATGCATGAGGAAATTACAGTCATTCTCAAGTGCTTGTAACCTCCCATTAAGCTCTGAAATTTCATTCCCAATAGCAGCTACATCAATTTCACCTCCAAGAGAGGAAACTTTTTTATGCTTAATGTCCAAATTATTCTTATCTTCACTAACAATACCATTGCCTAAATCAGCAGGCTTGTCAGTGGAGCCTCCATTTGATTTTGGAAAATCATTGCGCATGGATGAAGAACTCTCCTCCTGTTGGGAATTAGTAGTTCTCATATCAGCAGTTTTTTTCTTGACTTGATCATCAACATCTTTCTCTATCCTTTCTGAATATCCATTATAAGAAACATTATCTGAGACCTGTCTGCCAGAAACTTGAAAAAGCTTTTTCTCCAAGTTCTTCAGATATTGTGAAATGCGGAGCTTTTCATCCTCGAAGTTACATATTGAATCGTTAAACTCTCTAGGTTTATCACAGTTTTTGGATATTTTAGCAGTTTTGGAATCTGAACTGCCACTGAGCTTGTTCTCAATATGATCTAGACTATTATTTTCAGTCATTACTTTTTCCCCTTTCTGGTTTTTATCCTCCTTGCCTGGATCCTCTGCTGCTAATTCATCTGTATAATTATTCCTAAATAATTCTAATTCTGCTTCCAGATCTTGCAACTCTTTCTCCCTTTCAGCAAGGAGATCGTTAGCTCTTTCTAGTGCCTCCATATCATACTCGGCTTGTTCTTCCATCATTCTTAAATATTGCAAAGCCTCCATATGAAGTGATGCCTTCTCCTCTTGCAACCTTGTGATCATAGCCATTGCCTGATTTGCAGCAATGGCTGAAGCACTCCTTTCTTCCTCCAGTTCCTTGTACAGAGCATTTATGCATCTCTGATCATGTTCAACTTGTCGTTTCAACCTATCAACAATACTTTCGCCCTCAATTTCATTGATGCTGAATCCATCTGCTGGTTCATTACCAGAATCATCTCTCTCCACGAAGGCAGATTTTGGACGCAGACGTTCATGTTCAACTTGTCGTTTCAACCTATCAACAATACTTTCGCCCTCAATTTCATTGATGCTGAATCCATCTGCTGGTTCATTACCAGAATCATCTCTCTCCACGAAGGCAGATTTTGGACGCAGACGTTCATGTTCAACTTGTCGTTTCAACCTATCAACAATACTTTCGCCCTCAATTTCATTGATGCTGAATCCATCTGCTGGTTCATTACCAGAATCATCTCTCTCCACGAAGGTAGATTTTGGACGCAGACGTACCCCGTCGGAGCTAGAGGCATCACTTCTTTGGTGGTCATTGCCATGATCATGATTCCTATGACTTGCAGTTTGAATTCCATCCATCTCAGAAGTAGAAAGTTGGGGGAGTGACTTCATACCTTCTCCAGCTTTTCCAGCATCACTTATTGCACTTGGTTCTCCAAGCCTATCTGATACTTTTCTCTCTCCGTAGCTCAGAGCAGATATATCGGCTTGAATTTGCTTTGGTATAGATGGAGCACTGTCATCTAAATCAATTGGAGCTTTCGCATTATCCTTCACAGTTATGTTGTTTCCTCCATCAGTTGCTTCAGTCAAATCTACAAAATCATTTTACAAAGATAAACAAATGAAAAATAGGAACTCAACTGCTTTTCTTGGAAAAACAGAACAAGCAAGTGTATAAGACATACAGACTCATAACAATCAAAGGCAAAGATCAGCTTACTTGTCTCTTGGATGTTAATACTGGACGAAGGCAAATTGGTTGCTGATATGAGCTCCGACAGTACAGAGAGGTCTGAGATACGAGGGAGAAAAATGTTCGGCTGTGAAATCACTCCTGATGTGTGATGATTTTCTAAAATGTTGTGTGACTGGGTGATATTATCTAATGAAACGAGCTCTGGCATTACCGAAGGACTGGCCTTAGGAGAAAGATTTTCCCAATCAAGTTCTGCTAAGCCATGCCCTACAAAATCATCACATGCCCGAAAACACACATTTTTGCCCGAGCTGGTGGCCAGCTGCATTGGCTGATCCAAAAGAGAAGGCCTGGATTCAGATGATTGTCGAACCTGATTCTCTGGAGTCGCAGCCTCAGTTCCTATTTTCTGTGTTGTTCCTTTGCCACTTCGAACATTGTCTTCTGATCTAGAATCATCTTTACTGCGAGTAGCAGAACATCCGTCATCATCATCAGAAATCTGGATTTCAGACTCAGAATCTGAAGTAATCTTCAGCTCTGTATATCCTACATGTGATAAAGGGTCAACACCAGCAGTCCTTGCCCTAGGTGAGTCTGGCCCAGAAATCTTATCCCTGATTTTCTTAAAGCTATCACGGCGGCTGAAACGGCTACGACCTGGTGCTCGTGGTAGAGGAGGTTTGACATTGGCCTTAGAAGCACCAAAACCAACTGAAGTTAGCTGGAGCAATCTTTGAGCACTTGATCGAGCTCTCCACGTCTTGTGACAACAAGAACAGCTCCACGGGCCAGGAGAACTAGGTATAAAACTCTTATTCCCCAGTTTAGCCATCATCAAATTATCCGACTCTTTAACAAGTACGTTCTCAGTAGCAAATGAAACAAGGCATTCTTCACACATAGCACGAACATCAGCAAGATTACCATGAACATGACAAAACACTTGAAATGATATCTCCTCTTTATGGTTTCTGCACAAAAGTCTCCTATAACATCCAGTTTTCTTGTTTCCAAATACGTGATCAAACCGTGAGCACAACATACATGGCGTCTGCAACTCATAGTAACTGGCAAATTTGGTGATCAAGTATGACAATGCCGTATCTAAAAACAACATAAAGATCAAGAACCATTCACAAGCCGCAGAAGACAATACTGTCATAAATCCCCGCGGATTTCTCTGTTTACCAGATGAAATCCCTCTTGCAGCCATTGCCACAAAAAAGATTCAACTTCCCAAATCACATTACATTTCCAGGGAACCAAACCAATGACCGCCTGTTGATCACTAAACACAATGACGATAACAACAACCACAACAATTGTTTTGCTCCTCAATCCAATACTAATTGGGGACGGTTATATGAATCTTCAACATCCATTTAAGCCTATTTGGGCCCATTCATGTCAATCACTCAACAAATATAGAAACAATCCCCCTTTTCTCAAATCTATATCAGCAAATTCAATATCTGACAATAGACCCTGAAAAACCAAGAGACCATAGGGAAAAAAATCAAGAATACCCACATATGTAAAAATTACAATTGACCCACGACACATACATTTGCATGCGACAATAGGGAAGAACAAATAAAACCCCCAAAAACTGAGAAATATGAATTGGTTAAAGTTATAACGGAATTTCAACACAGAATTGAAAGATCATACCTGTGGATGAAGCTTATGATTAACAGAGAAATTGAAAGAAGAAAATCATCATCAGCATCACCACCAAGATTAACCAATAGGAGAAGGATAGAGAAAAAAGAATGAAGGGGCGGGCTGAAAATTACAACGAAATCCTTTGGTCCCAAGAAATGACTGACCGTTGGAACCAACAGAAATTCAGATTCCTAGTTGTCTGCATAAAACACGACACAAAGCTTCCACCTCGATAGTTGACTTCTCTATCCTTGATATTCTGCACTGCACTGTTATAAATATATTATATTATGAATGTTCATTTAGTAATCCGTTATAAATAAGCTTTCTGAAGAAACTTATTCATATGGGACTCCATCGTAAATATGTTTATCTATTTAGTACTCTATTGGAAATAAGTTTCCTGAATAACCTTATCACTTCGGTACCCGGTTATGGATAAACATTACCCCGATAGAAGATTATTCATATCAGGTATAATAAGCTTATCCTTTCAGTACCCAGTAATGAATAAACATTACCTCCGGTAGAAGATTATCCATATCGGGTATAATAAGCTTATCCTTTCAGTACTCCGTTATGGATAAACATTGCTCTCAGTAGAAGATTATCCATATCTGGTATAGTAGCAACTTACACAACAACTTCCTTTCTTCTATAAATAAAAGAGATTTCAGTTCATTATGTACATCAGTTTGAATTCGAATAATATAACAGTTTCTCTCTATACTTGTCTTTACTTTACAGTCTTTATTTTATAACACGTTATCAGCACGAGACTCTGACATCTCGAGCAAATACTTTGAAAGTATTAGAGGTAAGAACTTTCTTTTCCTAAATAATGTCAAATCTTTCTAAACTTGAATTTGTAGCCCTGGATATATCGGGCAAAAGCTACATGTCTTGGGTGCTTGATGCTGAAATTCATCTTGATGCGATGGGTCTGGCAGACCCCATCAAGGATAAAAATCAAGCATCAAACCAAGACCGTGCCAAAACAATGATATTCCTACGCCATTACCTTGATGAGGGCCTGAAAATGAAATATCTCACTATTAAAGATCCAGTCATACTGTGGAATAATTTGAAAGATAGATATGACCACCTGAAGATGGTCGTTCTTCCACAGGCACGTTATGATTGGACTCATCTAAGGCTACAAGATTTTAAATCTATCAGTGAGTATAATTCTGCTATGTTCAGAATTATTTCCCAATTGAAATTATGTGGTGATAATATTACTGATCATGATATGTTGGAGAAAACTTTCACCACTTTTCATGCCTCGAATATGCTCCTGCAGCAGCAATATCGAGAGATGGGATTTAAAAAGTATTCTGAACTTATCTCACATCTTCTTATAGCAGAGCAACATAATGGGCTATTAATGAAAAATCATGAAAGCCGACCTATTGGTTCTTGTCCATTCCCTGAAGTGAATGAGACGAACTTCCACCGAGCTAAACGTGGAAGAGGTTGTGGCCCCAGTCGAGGTCATAGCCGTGGTCGGGGAAGAAACTCCAATCATGGTAATAATAATGCACTAAAGAAGCCACCTCATCACCAGCAATGGAAAAGGAAGGAACAAAAGCATGAAGCGGTGCAAGCGCCAAATGCAAAAAATGCATGCTATAGATGTGGAGGAAAATGGCACTGGTCACATACCTGTCGTACGCCAAAGCACCTGGTTGAGCTTTATCAAGCCTCCCTGTAGAAGACAGAGAAAAATGCTGAAGCAAATTTTATTTCTGAAGATAATTTAGACT